TCCCCTGGTCACTCCTGGCACTATCAGACCCCCTGGTCACTCCTGACACTATCAGATCCCCTGGTCACTCCTGACACTATCAGATCCCCTGATAACTCCTGACACTGTCAGACCCCCTGGTCACTCCTGACACTATCAGACCCCCTGGTCACTGCTGACACTGTCAGATCCCCTGGTAACTCCTGACACTATCAGACCCCCTGGTAACTCCTGACACTATCAGATCCCCTGGTCACTCCTGACACTATAAGATCCCCTGGTCACTCCTGGCACTATCAGACCCCCTGGTAACTCCTGACACTATCAGATCCCCTGGTCACTCCTGACACTATCAGATCCCCTGGTCACTCCTGGCACTATCAGACCCCCTGGTCACTCCTGGCACTGTAGGACCCCCTGGTCACTCCTGGCACTATCAGACCCCCTGGTCACTCCTGGTACTGTCAGATCCCTAGGTCACTCCTGGCACTGTCAGATCCCCTGGTCACTCCTGGCACTGCCAGATCCCCAGGTCACTCCTGGCACTGTCAGATCCCCTGGTCACTCCTGGCACTGTCAGATCCCCTGGTCACTCCTGGCACTGCCAGATCCCCAGGTCACTCCTGGCACTGTCAGATCCCCTGGTCACTCCTGGCACTGTCAGATCCCCAGGTCACTCCTGGCACTGTCAGATCCCCTGGTCACTCCTGGCACTGTCAGATCCCCTGGTCACTCCTGGCACTGTCAGATCCCCTGGTCACTCCTGGCACTATCAGACCCCCTGGTCACTCCTGGCACTGGGTAGGACACCCCTGGTCACGGTCTCTGCACTATCAGACCCCTGGTCACATCCTGTACTGTCAGATCCCTAGGTCACTCCTGGCACTGTCAGATCCCTGGTCACTCCTGGCACTGCCAGAATCCCCCAGGTCACTCCTGACACTGTCAATCCCCTGGGTCACTGCCTGGCCTGTCAGATCCCCTGTCCACTGCTGGCACTTGTGTCAGATCCCCTGGTCACTCCTGGCACTGACCAGATCCCCAGGTCACTCCTGGCACTGTCAGATCCCCTGGGTAACATCCTGGGCACTGTCAGATCCTTTATTCACTCCGGCACTGTCAGATCCCCAGGTCACTCCTGGCACTGTCAGATCCCCTGGTCACTCCTGGCACTGTCAGATCCCCTGGTCACTCCTGGCACTGTCGGATCCCCTGTTTACTCCTGGCACTGTCAGATTCCCTGATCACTCCTGGCACTGTCAGATCCCCTGGTCACTCCTGACACTGTCAGACCCCCTGGTCACTCCTGGCACTGTCAGATCAACCTCTTGGTAATCCTCCCTGCACTTATCGAGATCCCTGGTCATTTATGCAGTCGATGCACTGGTGTGAGATCCCCGTGGTCACTCCTGGCAACTGGCCAGATCCCCACTGTCACTGCCTGGCACTGTCAGATCCCCTGGTCACCCCTGGTACTGTCGGATCCCCAGGTCACTCCTGGCACTGTCAGATCCCCTGGTCACTCCTGGTACTGTCGGATCCCCTGTTCACTCCTGGCACTGCCAGATCCCCAGGTCACTCCTGGTACTGTCGGATCCCCTGTTCACTCCTGGTACTGTCGGATCCCCTGTTCACTCTTGGCACTGCCAGATCCTAAGGTCACTCCTGGCACTGCCAGATCCCCTGGTCACTCCTGGCACTGCCAGATCCCCAGGTCCCTCCTGGCACTGCCAGATCCCCTGGTCACTCATTCTACTGTCGCTACCCCTGGTCCTCCCGGCAACTGTCAGATCCCCTAGTCACTCCCTGGTACTGTCAGATCCCCTGGTCACTCCTGTCCCCATATCAAATCCACTGAGTAAACGCTGGCACTGTCAGATCCTTTTGGTCACTACGGGCACTGTCAGATCCCCCAGGTCACTCAAGGCACGGTCAGGATCTCCCCTGGTCACTCCATGGCACATGTTCAGCTCCCTTGTCACCTCCTGGCACCTGTCGGATACCCCGTGTTACTCCTGGCCCTGTCAGATTCCCTGTCACGGCCTGGCAATGTCAGATCCACTGTCACTCCCCTGACACTGTCAGAACCCCCTGGGGGGGTCACTCCTGGCACTGTCAGATCCCTTGTCCCTCTGGCACTATCAGATCCCTGGTCACTGCGGGCACTGTGAGACCCCTGGTCACTTGCCTGGCACTGCCAGATCCCCCTGGGCTCCACGCCTCCGGCACTGTCAGATCCCCTGGTCACCCCTTGTGTACACTGTCGGATCCCAGGGTCACATCCTGGCACTGTAAGATCCCTGTCACTCCTGGTACTGTCGGTCCACTGTTCCACTCCCTGGCACTGTCAGATCCCTTGGCACTTCATACGGGTACTGTCGGATGCCCTGTTCACTCCTGGTACTGTCGGATCCCCTGTTCACTCCTGTAACTGTTCGTGCTGCACTGTTTACAATCCCCTGTGTCACTCTCGGTGCAACAGCGGTCCCAAGAGTTCCCGCTCGTTCAGATTCCTGCACTGTTGCGATCCCTGTTCACGGCCACTGGTACTCGTCGGATCCTCCCAGGGTGCGACTCCTTGGCCACTGTCCAGATTTCCCCGGGCACGCCTGGTACTGTCGGATCCCCTGGTTCACATCCTGTCACTACAAGCCAGATCCCCAGGTCACTCCTGGTATCCTAGGTATCGGGATGCCCTGTTCCTACTTCCTGGTCCTGTCGGATCCCTTTTCACATGTTGGCCTGCCTAGATCCTAAGTCACTCCTGTCACTGCCAGATCCCCTGGTCACTCCTGCACGCCAGATCCCCAGGTCCTCCTGGAGCACTAGCCAGATCCCCTTTCACTGTGTCCTGGTACTGGTCATTCCCCGTTCCTCTGGCAGCGGGGTCAGATCCCCTAGTCCCTCCTGGGACTGTCAGATCCCCTGGTCACTGTGTCCTCGGCACATCTATCTCCCTGAGTCATCCCTGGCACGATCAGATACCTGGCCACTCCTGGCATGTCATATCCCCTGGTCACTTCTGGCCCCCCCCTTGGTCAATCCCCTAGTCACTCCTGGCACTGTCAGATCCCCCGGATCACTCCGGGCACTGCAGAGCCCCGGTCCCCTGGTACTGTCGGGTCCCATCCTCCTGGCATCTCCTTCCCGTCACTCCGGTACTGTCGGATCCCCTGTTCACCCTGGCACTGCCAGATCCCCCGGGCACTCCTGGCCGCCAGACCCCAGGTCACTCCTGTATGTCAGATCCCCTGTTCCTCTTTTCATGCCCAAAACCAAGGTCACTCCGGCACTGCCAATCCCCTGTCACTCCTGGCACTGCCGACCCCTGGTCCCTCCTGGGACTGCCAGATTCCCGATCCTGGACTGTCGGATCCCCTGGCCCTTTCTGGTCTGTCAGATCCCTAGTCCTCCCGGCACTGTCAACCCTGGTCCTCCTGGCACATCAACCCCCGGGCCCCGGCACATCAAATCCCGGCCACTCCTGGCACTGTCAATTTCCCCGGCCTTTGGCATGTCAATCCCCCGGCATTCTGGGACTTCAAACCCCCGGTCACTCCGCCTATAAAACCCCCCCGGGCATGCTTACAATCAACCCCTGGGCCCTGACACTATCAGTCCCCCGGTCATCCTGGGACATAGTCTCCTGGCACCCTGGGACTTTTCAATCTCCTGCACTCTTCAGCCTCGACCCCGGGGGACTCCTGGCACTTTCAGACCCCCCTTTATACTTGGGCCCCCCGCAATCAGACCCCTGGTCACTGATGTCGTCCCTTTCCTGGACCAATCTCCCGTCCCCCCTGGCACTGCAGTCCCCCTGGTCACTCCGGGACTATCAGACCCCCCGGGACTCCTGGCCCCTTTGATCCCCGGGCACTCCTGCACTGCCAGATTTCCCCCGGCACCCGGGGGCCCAATCCCTGGTCACTCCTGGCCGTCAAAACTCCCGGGGCACTTGGCAGCCCCAGACTTTCCCGGCATTGGCAGCCTAATCCCCTCGCCCCTCCTCACTTTATCCCCTCCCCTGTCATTCCTTTGGACTGTCAGATCTCCGGCACTCCTTCGGCAGGACCCCTGTCCTCCGGGACTGCGATCCCCCTGGTAACCTGGGCCGGGGAGATTTCCTGGGCACCCTGACACGTCTTCCCCGGGCACTCCTGGGACTTCAGTTTCCCCCGGGGAAACCCCCCTGGCCTGTAGTCTTCTTTGTCACTCCTGGCACTGGGGCGAACCCCTTGCACTCCTGCACGTCGGGGGCCCCCAGGTCATCCCTGGCACGTCAATCTCCTGGTCACCATGGCAGCCCCCGAACCCCTGTACCCTGGGCCTCAACCCCCGCACCCCCTTTCCCCGGGCCCCGGACTCCGGCACTGTCAACCCGGCACTCCGGTACTGTCAACCCTGGTCCCTCCGCACGCAACCCGGGAACTCCTGGCACCAAATTTTCCCGGTCACTTGACACGTCATTCCCCGTCCTCCGGAAGTCAATTTTCCTTCACTTCACGGCAATCTTTTTTTCATCCCTGGGACTGTCAATTCCTTTTCACCCGGGACTCGATCCCCAGGGCATCCTGGGACTGTCATCCCCGGCACTCCTGCCATCAATTCCTTGTCATCCTGCACTGTCGGTCTTTGGCCTCCTGGCATTCAATCCCCAGGGCACTCCCCGGGCCCGCGATCCCCGTTAACCCGGGACTGTCAGTCTCCCTGGTCACTCCTGGCCTGTCAATTCCCCGGGCCCTCCTGGGATGTCAATTCCCCAGGGCCTCCCGACACCCGGTTCCAAGTCACTCTGTGCACTGTCAATTCCTTGCCCCCCCTGGGACGTCAATCTTCTGGTAACCCCTTCACGGGCAATCCCCAGGTCATCCTGGGAGCAAATTTCC